ATATACCCATTGGAAGACATGCAGTTATTACACATAACTATAAAGTTCCACAAGTTCCTTTCACCGCCTGGGATTGAGTTCACATACTGGCTCGAGGGGGTGACTGGAACAAAACCCTCCTCCGGTTGGAGCAAAGATGGATTTTCAGATTGCAAGCAAGTTTTTTCTGGGCTGAATGACTCCATTTCATACCGCCCATTTTTAAAAGGGTTTTCTTCTGGAAAAATGAATTAAAAACCTTTTAGTCACAGTGAACAACATTTTATCCTTATGGAGCCTCATAAGAATGGTCAAAAAATAGACCAAAAATATACATAGATATAATCTTTAGTGTTCAAAATGTATGCTATTTAATTGTTTTGGCCAAGCTCTATTACATGTGGAGAGAGATGTTGTATAACATTATCCTTATACATATTTGTTTTGACCCAAAATGTGTTAATTAGAATATTTTTTTTGTTTCCAGGCATTTTTCCTCAGTCACTGGATCCCTTTTTTGATTTTGGTCCTTCATTTAGGGCCCTGCATGGCAGAGGGGGGCCTCCCTAGTGGCAGTCTATTGGTTCTTGGCCACTGGGGAGAGCATGGGCGGAGTTCTGTGGCTCCTTCCAAGCAATGGCCTCCTTCCAGTGCACATGTGGGTGGCCCCGTCATGACTCCGCCGAGCGTGTGCGTGATGTCATTACACCACTCTGTTTGTGGTGAAAGTGGCGATGGCTGTCAGGGGAAGCCTTTCCCTCCCAGAACGCTGGGGAGGCCAGGCAGATGGCTCCATTAAGCGCATGGCGCAATCTAGAGCCAGTGTGGCAAGTGGATGAGGGGATTGGTGACACCTGTGGGCAGACCATGTGTGACCTGTGGTTAATCAAAGGGGCAGTAGATTATCTGATATATATACGTGGCTTTGTTGTCCAGTGGGCTCTATTCCTTGGGCTACAAGGTTTGGACATAGGAATCCATGATGTGTGAATTGGCAGTCTGTGTGAGCAACAATTTTCCTGACTTTACACCACCTCCTAATTGATTTGGGGCCCTTTCAGCATAAAATTTTCTTTTTTCTTTCCTTTTTCTTTTAACTTATATTTCTAGGTCTCTCAGTGGGATTTTGCTCAGAGGTACAAACTTTATATGTGGATTTTGAACTATTGGACTGGAAATCCCCCCTTTATTATTCTTGTGAGTAAGGTGACTGCTTTTTCAACAAAGTTTGTGAGGTAATCAAACTGTACTTTTCAATATTTTGATTTCTTAGTATCGAGTCAATATATGTTTGTTTGCCATTTTGATTTTTTTCTCTTGATTAGATGACTTTTGAAAATACAGTATATACACATGTTGTTTGTAGATACATGTGCCACTTTGGGACCCAGTGACACAAGGATGTGCCTTTGTGGGAGGGGTGGCTTAAACCTTTTATGGTTAGTACCCCTAAATCTAACAGACATGAGCCATATGCTTGGGCCTTTTATGAAAATGTATTCTTTGTTCTTTTCAGCATTTCACATTATGATCTCTATGTGGTTTACCATGGGTATGCGGTTTCCTCTGCCTCTTTGATACACATATATGTGTGGCCTCTTGGGGGCCCAAGGTGATGTGTCCTTCCTTTTTGGTGGTCCTGTTGGCCAAGGACAATTCTTGGAACTGTTAAACTGCTCTGGTTTTTCATGCTTTTCTTCCCCCCTGCTAGAAGGTAATTATATCTGAATATGCACAGCAATATGCAATGATATCCTGAATTGATTGTACTCAGGGTAACATTTTATTATCTATTTTCAATTTAGATGTCCTAAACACCCCTGATGAAGATTGTGACTTTAATAATTGAAATGCATTGGAGCCCTTCCTGGCAGCACTACTATTTGGAAATTCCTTTGTACATCAATGATCACTACCTGCCAGTGTGTTAAGGATATCACTAATTTTATATGAGGGATATATACTGTGTGTGCATGTACACAGTATATATATATTTTATACCAGAGCTCATATTTTAAAAATCATATGTATTTTAATTTTTTGGTAACAATAAAAAATCTTTTTGAATTAAATGATATTTAATCTGTGTGTTTGATATATACCTTAGAGTACTGTAATAAAGCCTTTGGGAGAAATTGATCTTTTTTTGCATTCCTGGATTACGCTTACTCTCTGCCAAATGTCCTGATCAAGCTGAGGTCAGGTAATGGGTGTGAAACAGTTAAGGAGCAAGCAGAAGTGGAGTTGATGAACAAGCCAAAAGGTCAATACCAAGTAGTAGCTTGATGGGATCAGACGGAATAAATAAATAAACATAGTCAATGAACAACCCAAGGGCTGATAACGAGTGGTAGTTAAAGACATCAGCAGGTTTGCAATGAGCAAGATATCGGCTGGAGAAAGCACAATAATCTGGCAAACAGGAAGTGCAGAGACATGGTTAAATCAGAAAGTCTATGGGAGAAGCAAAGCGTTCAAGGTTCACCAGAAGCAAGATAAAAGGCAAGGTTGTCCAAGGGATCAAGTAAGGAGCTGTCCAGCATTTCAGATGACACAGGGGTAAGAGCTACAGTCAAACAGTGCAGGGGTCCTAGGTTCAGATCTGGTCCTTGACACTCTCGTAGCTTTCCCATATTGTAATATTTTTGTGTGTTAGAGTGATAGGTCTGTGCAAATCAATAGAGACTTAACTGTCTCTGAGTGTTGAATCCCCCCTTCCACCTCCGCTCAGATTACAGGAAGTTAACATCACTTGAGATTCAGAAACTTGTCCTACTTGTCAGTATGCCATTGGATTAAATTGTGGCTGTGTAAATCTCCCTGATGCTCAGCTTTAAATTAAGCCTGTGACCAGATATCAGACATTCATATGTTTACATATTATCAAAGTGTTACTAAACCCACAACAGTAAAATCAGTCTGTAATGCTGTAAAGCATGCTTGTTCTACTCACTGTGGAACCTAAGGGGTTAATCCTCTGCATTGTGTAAAAAGGGTGTTTGATCCTGACTTCTCTGATCCTCCCCTTCTTCCAGTGTTCCCTTCTTATCTCCTGATAAGACATATTGTGTGGAAACCATCTGCACATGCTCAGTTTGGTGTGTATTGCTAGAGAGTTTTTTTTTTCTTGGAAGAGTGCATATGATTAGCACAGGGCCAATTAGCACTGTCCAGACAAAGGTTAGGGGTTCTACATCTTCCTAGGACAGAAAGAAAATTCCTCCTACAAGCTTTAACCAGTGCTCTGCTGAAGTCACAAGACTGCTCTAACTGCTGATGAGAAAAGGTATTTAGCAGTTTATATTTACTAAAATAATTCCATTTCCATGTTCTGTGTACTGTGGAAGACCAGATATAGTGAATGCAGGGTCCTGGGTTTATTAACAATTTAAGAAGCAGGAAGAGATTTACATAAAGCCTCTCTCAGCAGCTAAGCTCACCCTGTATTGTCCTACCAGAATACCTTTCTTTCTGTCCACTGGGAGGGGGAAGCAGAGCATTCTGAGCTGCTGAAAATAATGACTTCAGTGCTGTGAGCTTTAAGGATGAATTGCTTCAGAATAACAGCAACTACAGAGGTCAGTGTGTGTTTCTTTTAAATCTTGTATTGCTTGTTAAGAATATGTAAGACTTAAATGTAACCTGGTCACACTTTAACTTTAAAGCACAACTAAAGGCAAAACCTTTTTTTTTAGTTTTGGACAGAATGGAGAAGGATGAAAACACATGTCAGTTTTTATGGTTGTCTGTGACCCCTGGCAATGAGATTCACCCTCTCTATTTGTCCCATTTACACTTATCATAGAAAGTGAAAGTAAAAGAAAATCCCAAATTTTGTGTTATCCCCAGAAAAGCAATAGAATATAAATCTGCCACTGGGGACACTAGTTCTGGTGACCTGGGGGCCCCAAGGGATTCCCTGCAGGGATTTAATCTCATTTCATGTTTTAGCTATGGGTCAGGATGTGAAGGGAAATCTCTCGAATGGGACATAGGTAACAAAAAATAACCCTTCCAAAATGAAAAAAAAAAAAAGTTTTGCCTATTTATCTACTTTAAGCATGTTTGAGTTAGAAGATTACTATAGAACTGTCTTTGTAAAGCTGGTAACGTAGAACAAAAAGAGGTAACAATTAATCAATAATGCAATTGTGGTGTTGTCTTAGTTGTAGGATGTAGTGCGGTTCTGCTCAATGCCAGAATGGATAACAAACAACAGCCCACTAACATAAGTTCATTGCAAGGGCAGCACTAAAGCACAAAGGACTCTTCAGTAGGCTGGAGTGTAATGCTGCTTGTATCTACTCTGCACTAACAACGTGGGAAGCACTAGATTCCCACATTCCTTCACTGACGTCAGAAACCCATATACACATTAAATCCACCTCTTCCATCTCCAGAGAGAAGAAAGGAAAATGCAACACAGATACAAAACTACATTATGAATGTTAGCAAAATGTTAGCTATTGTAAGCCTCGCATCTTTAAATCAAAGAGGAAATTTGTTTCATAACATGCCTCAATACGTAAACACATCGCCAGAATACTTTTTTTCATTACCTGCCAACATGGTCAAGTTGCCCTGGGTTGTAGTACACCCAATCATGCTATTACTCAATCTGCAGTGACCACTTTCACTACTCCATCTGTATGAAAAACATAGTCTTTATTATCTCATGCATCATCTCATCTGACTGGCAGATACAGTTGCACAGATCTGACACTTTGAAAATGTATAGCCTAATTTAATAGTGTTAAATCTTCAGTACCATAACCACTAACAACCAATCATAATTCACCCTGTCAGACCAGAACAAGATAAATTCTATTCCATTGCTAAGGATCACAACAGTTAAAGTGTTACTAAACCCAGGACCCTGCATTCACTATATCTGGTCTCTCACAGTTACACAGAACATGGAAATGCAATTATTTTAGTAAATATAAACTGCTAAATACCTTTTCTCATCAGCAGTTATGCGTCTTCTATCAGTGTCCAACCAAACACTGATTAAGGCTTGTAGGAGGAATTTTTCATTCTCCTCTGACCGTCCTATGAGGCTGCATGACCACTGACCCTCTGTCTGCATAGTGCTGATTGGTCCTGTGCTGATCACATGAACCTTCCTCCCCCCCCCCCAAAAAAAAAAAACTCTAGCAATACACAGCAAACTGAGAATGTGCAGAGTGCCTCCTAGGGCTCTGTGCTATTGGCAGATGGTTTGGGAATTTGGAAGAAGGAGAGGATCAGAGAAGACAGGATCAAACAGCCTTTTTACACAATGCAGAGGATTAACCACTTAGGTTCCACAGTGAGTATAACAAGCAAGCTTTACTGCATATGCAGACTGATTTTACTGTTGTGAGTTTAGTAACATTTTACAGATGAAATAAACACATCAATTTAAATATTTAACAAAACTGTTACATTGATGGCATGTTATGAACAATAACTGTCACGACAGCATAGCTACATAGTCAGATTGAAAAAAGACCCACCCACTTAAATCCTATAACCACAGTTGACCCAGAAGAAGGCAAAAAAGAAAATAAAACATGATCCAGTTTGCTCCGCCAGGGGAGAAAAAGTCCTTCCTGATCCCTTAGGAGGCAATCAGATTTTTCCTGGATCAACTACCCCTGATGTTGTTACCTATAAATGTTAGTATCCAGTTATAGTTTTTGCATTTAGGAATGCATCCAGCTCTTTTTAAAACAAGCTAATGAGCTGGCCAGAACTAGTTCTCGAGGGAGTCTATTCCACATTTTTTACAGCTTTTACTGTAAAAAAGCCTTTCTATATTGTAAGGTTAAATTTCTTTTCCTGCAGACATAAAGACTGACCTGTATTGACCTGAAAGTGTACTACAGTATATGGACCACTTATGTATTTATACATCGTGATTGTATCCCCCCTTGCTTGTGCTCTCAACTGAACTCAAGCCATTAAATAACGGTGTCATAAATGATAACGTGTAGCACTATGGCATCTGAAGATCAAAACGAAGATAAGATGGCTGTTTCCTTGGCTATAAAGGATAGGATGGTTTATTTCCACTTTAGCATTGAGCTAGTTTATTGAATTAGACTTCTTATGTGCCCACTGCATCTCTGCATGCTGTAACTTAGTACCCGACTCTTGCTGTGTTTGGGGGGCATGTCAAATTTATGGCAAGAATTGGCACTACTTTGTGTAGCACTATCCACTTAGGAGTCGCTAGAGATTCGGGTCACCTTGTAGACTTGCACAGCCAGGCAACACGTATTTTCCATACAGACTTGTATCCAGGAGACAGTAACCAGTCCTTGAGCTTGGTTTTTTATGTTTTATTAGGTGAATTGAACTTGGATGGGGTAAGGGGTGTATAGGATGCCCAAAGGGAACGGCAACTGAGGACAATCTTCCTGGAAACTATGTACAAGTTTATTTAACAGCAAAAATGTTCTCTTCTTGGAGAGCTAGCCAGCACCTCCTGATGTTCCACCCCAGACCCCAGATGAATCCTCTCCTCATCCAGCTGTACTGGGTGTCTGACACTGTAGTGTGAAAACATCCCAGGTAAGAAAGCTAATCCAGTTTCCCACTAGAGTTCCTCTTTCCCCTTACTGGCCGAGGGGGTGCAGATCTTCTCACTCAGTCCCCTGTCTGTGAGCTGATGGGTCATTGGTTGCTCTCAGACCTTCTGCTGGGCCACTCCTTCCCAGCTGCACAGATGGTCCTCGCTCTGGGGGACAATGAGGTCCTGAGCTTTCAACCTTTCCAGCTCCACTGCTTGTAGGTTAGCCCCTTCCCATCTAGGCCCCCTCCTGGCTCCTGCTCTCCAGCCTCTCACTTCCTCGCCATCTTTTAACTGAACTCTCCTGCTACTGAACAGACTCTCTCACATTTGAAGGCTGCCCTGGCTCCATTCCAAGCCTGCTGCTTGGGGATTGGTAAAGGTCTTCCAAGTGTGCAGGTAAGCCCCTTCTCACCCCCACCCACTGCTTCTAGAATCTTCTCCAAGTTTCTATAACAGGGGTAGGTATTAGGGAACTGACCTGCAGAGACTCTCAGCCCTGACCCGAATTTAGCCTCCCGCTAACTATCACCACAGGATGCTACTCAGCCTCTGACTAATAATTGAGCACTAGCTCCCCCTATGTATCTAGGAAGGTGCTACATTTGTATGAGGGAACTGCAGTTTGACTTTCCTATTTGTTGCCAGCAAAAAGTATTTTAACACTTGCAGCACTTAATAATTCAAAAAAGTAAAGAACATCAGATTTATTTCTATAAATGCAAACTGACTGCATTACGGAAATAAATCAGGTGGATTCAGTTGGGCATCAATCCATCTTAATTTTTTTTTAATAATTACTATTTTTGAATGCCAGTAATGTAAGTACCTAAATTTGCCAATGTATCAGCCTCATGCAGTCCCTGTAGAGCAGAGCTCATAGTCGGAAAACAGTAAGTAGCACAAGGAGCCAATCAGTTCTGACAAGGAAGCATGCTGATAGGGGGGAAAACAGAGTGACAGAGAGATGAATTCATCACTCTGCTGCTTCTCTATTTACTGTCAAATCAAAGGCTGGCTCGGAGGAAATAGGTTGAATAAGGCTGGCCCTAGTGGCATAAAATATGTGCTACAGGGAACAGTTATAGACTGAGAGTGATTATTGCAGCAAAAAGCTGTTTTTTTTTATTTTGTCTTTTATTTGGTTTGTCATTTAATGGGTATTCGTTTTTATTTTATTTGTTATTTTATTTTCTACTGGATTTCTGCTTTGAGGACATAGTATTGCTAAGCAGCGAACAGTATTGATGAGAATTAATCATAGACTGCGATACCAAACAAGGTACTGCTGAGCAGTTTTTTTGTATATACATTCAATGGCCACTTTATTCGGTACACCGGGTTGGACCCCCTTTTGCCTTCAGAACCGCCTTCATTCTTCATGGCATAGATTCTACAAGGTGATGGAAACATTCCTCAGAGATTTTGGTCTACATTGACATGAGTTATTGTTGCCTTTCTATCATCTCGAACCAGTCTGCCCATTCTCCTCTTACCTCTGACATCAACAAGACATTTTCATCTACACAACTGCTGCTCACTGGATATTTTTCTGTTTTTTGGACCATTCTCTGTAAACCCTAGAGATGGGTGTGTGTGAAAATCCCAGTAGATCAGCATTTTGTTTTGAAATACTCAGACCAGCTCGCCTGGCACCAACAACCATGTCATGTTCAAAGTCACTTAAATCCCCCTTCTTCCCCATTCTGATGTTCAGTTTGAACTTTTTCACCATGTCTGCATGCCTAAATGCATTGAGCTGCTGCCATGTGATTGGTTGATTAGCAATTTGTGTTACCAAGCAATTGAACAGGTGTACCTAATAAAGTGGCCGGTGAGTGTATGTATAGAAAGTGATAAAACAGTGACAGGCACATGGTGCTGCCATCCTTTAATGTAACTGTATGTACAGGAAATGATCAGATATTGGAAACAAGAACATGTTGCAAAAGGGTAGTGGATATTGCCCACACTGAAGATGCCGGCCTCCTGGAATACAGGACGGCCAGTGAAACGAGCTGCGGGGGACACACCATTATTTGATAGATTGAGTTTAACTCCGCTTTAAGAAATGACCATTGATAGTATTAAGGGAAAATGGTCTACTGAACAGTGGATGTAATGTATAGGAAGTAATTAAACATAACACTAACAGGGACATGACCCTATTGAGCATTGAATGTTATATACAGAAAGCTGTAAGAAATAGCAACTACAGGGACATAGTGCTACTGAGTTGTGGATGATACATATGAAAAGTCATAAGAGATAGCACTGACATGACATGGTTCTACCGAGCTGTGGGTGGTATGTATAATAAAATGATAGGATATCATTGATAGGGACATGGGGCTACTGAGCTGTGGCTGGTATGTATAATGAATGATAGGAGCTATCATTGATAGGGACATGGGGGCAACTGAGCTGTGGGTGGTATGTATAATAAATGATAAGATATCATTGATAGGGACATGGGGATACTGAGCTATGGGTGGTATGTATAATAAATGAAAGGATATCATTGATAGGGACATGGGGCTACTGAGCTGTGGGTGGTATGTATAATAAATGATAGGAGCTATCAATGATAGAGACATGGGGCTACTGAGCTGTGGGTGGTATGTATAATCAATGATAGGAGCCATCATTGATAGGGACATTGGACAACTGAGCTATGAGTGGTATGTATAATAAAATGATAGGATATCATTGATAGGGACATGGGGCTATTGAGCTGTGGGTGGTATGTATAATAAATGATAGGATATAATTGACAGGGACATGGGGCTACTGAGCTGTGGGTGGTATGTATAATAAATGATAGGATATCATTGATAGGGACATGGGGCTACTGAGCTGTGGGTGGTATGTATAATAAATGAAAGGATATCATTGATAGGGACATGGGGATACTGAGCTATGGGTGGTATGTATAATAAATGATAGGATATCATTGATAGGGACATGGGGCTACTGAGCTGTGGGTGGTATGTATAATAAATGAATGGAGCTATCATTGATAGGGACAAGGGGCTACTGAACTGTGGGTGGAATGTATAATAAATGATAGGCTATCATTGATAGGGACCTGGGGCTACTGAGATGTGGGTTGTATGTATAATAAATGATAGGAGCTATCATTGAATGGGACATGGGGCTACTGAGCTGTGGATGTTAAATAAGGAAGTCATAAGAGATATCACTAACAAGGACATGGTGCTAGTGAGCTGTGGATGTTAGGTTATAGAAAGCCATAAGTTATAGCACACACAGGGACATAGTGCTACTGAGTTGAGAATTAAAAGCAGAGTTTTTTTTAATTGATAATGTGGGGGAACGCAGCTCCGGAACCTCCAGCACTGAATGTATGTAATGGCAAGGGGTGCTGGGGTATGCTGGAAGGTTTAGTGATGCTAGCTGCTGGGGGATCTATTGTCACTGGGGGGTCTATTTTTGCATGGTGGTCTATTGTTGCTGGGGAGGTCTATTGTTGCTGGTGGGGGATATATTGTTGCTGGAAGAGATCAACTGTTGAGGAAGGGGTTTATTGGTGCTGGCTGCTGCAGAGTCTATTGATGCTAGCTGCTGAGAGATCTGTTGCTGCTGCTGGGGGTTTATTGTTGCTGGGGTGGTATTTTGATGCTTGGGGGTCTATTGCTGCTGGCTGCAGGGGATCTATTTTACCACTTTTCTTCTTATCAACATATTCCACACAAATTACTTAGCAGAACAAAATGATACTTGGAGGTGGGTGGGGGTAGAACCAAGGGACTGTGCTCAGGGGTGGGTAGAGGGGAGGATACAAGAAGTGATTTAGAAGAGGG